TGTTTAGGGAAAATGAGGGACAGGGAGGTAAAAATACAGATGTTGTGGATATATGACATAAACCAGAAAATAGATGTTTTAAAAAAACCTGTTTTACAGAATTGCTTAACACATGCTGAAATTCATGGATAGGACATTAAAACCAGACATAATAACAAATCCTCTAATGATACTTTGCTTGTTTGATTTGGAAGTGACCCATCAAATACATTAGCACACAATGTCCTAAATGGTCACACCTGTGAGTTCATAGTGCAAAGACATTAATTACTTAAGGCCTGGCTATATCTCTTCCTAATTACTTGGAAAGTACATGGATAATTTTCCACTCACTTAAGGTTAGCACATGTTGGTTAGCACATGGAACAGACCTGTAACAAGAGTATGTGTCTCTAACATCAGATGTGTGCATCATTTGCTGTGACACAAGAAACTGCCACTGCCAGCTGAGCAGATTCCCAAAACTAACTGTGAGAAGAGAGGTCATTCTGCCACTGGCAATGCTTTCCACAGCATTTCTACAAACCTGGTAACAAAGTTAATGTCAGGAGTCTAAAACAGGGGGGTGTTTTTGCAATGCTATTACCTTCTGAGGAGACATCAGCAAGAATTATTGAAACAGATCCCTGGATCAGTGGTATTTCACAACTACCTTACTACAATCCTTTATTAAATTTATATTCCTGGCTACAGCTTTCATGTTTTTTTGTTTGGGGTTTTTTTTTTTTTTTTTTTTTTTTTAGACGTAGCAGTGAGAATTAATAAACCAGATCTCTTGAGAAATGGTTATTTCACAATCACTTACTAATGCTGCTGTCAGGAATGTAAATAAATGAATTTGTGTAAAGAATGGTGTCAGTGTTAGGGGATAACCAAGTACTAATTTCACTGAACAAGAATAGAAGTTCAGTAAGAAGGAGGTAAACAGAAACCAGCTTAGACACAGAACTTCTCTGTGCTCTGCCTTTGGCAACAGAAGCAGGAAAAGTATGTCAAAAACCTCCCCAGAAGAGTGGAAGGTTGAAAATGCTGGCTTTCCTGAGGAACCAAAGCCTTAGGTAGTTTGAAATAGAATAGTAGTAAAAGAATAATTCATTCTGTTAGCTTATCTTTTTGAGCTGATTGCAGTATCTTACTCCCTTTGCTTCCTGATAAAATTAATTGGTTGGTGTTTCATTAAACCTGCTCTGGGAGCTCAAGACTCTGAAGCAGCATAAACTGATGGAAATCTACCATGAAACCAGCCTCTCCTTTGATCCAATAGTACTGTAGCATCCACTTGAAAAATGCCAAATACATCAGCCAGACTCTCTTTTGACTTGAGATGAGGCCAGTCTCCTTGGGTAGGTTCAGTTTGGTCTGCAAGGTACAAAATGGCCCTTGACCCCAGAAAAGCACCCTTCCCTTCTTTCAGGAGACAGATTACATATGTGTTCAATTCACATGGGAATGAGGGTGTACATTTTTTCCACCCAAAGTTTAACTTGTCTGAGGTGATATTCAAGCTAAGGTGATAGACATCTAAAACCAAGATGTCATCTGCATGTAGGGAATTAATACTAAATATTTGACATGGAAATATTTCAGGAAATGTAGTTTTATATGCTGCTGTTGCAGTATTAATTTTCAAAAATAGCAGGTGTTCAGGAGCTCAGTGTATTATGGCAGTTTTTTCTTCAATACTGAAAACCAAGAGCTTAAGTGACTGTTATTGGGTAAGAGAAGTACAGCACCTTGCTCTTATATTGCTCTAAAGGATCCCCTTGGCTCAGACTCATTCATCCTAGTTTTGGAATTCTCCACTGCTGCTATATCTGGTGACTTAAAGACCTGCTTTCATAGGTTTGTGTGGGCTGTTACAATTCTATTTTTCCTTCACCTTCTCTTCCTACATCAAATCAGTAAAAGAGCTATCTGAGTGGTTGCTAGGATTGTCATTTTTCACTGCCACAAATAATGATTAAGTGCTGAGTGTTGTTGTCTGCTAGGGAGGCTGGAGGCAGAGTGGTCAGGTAAGATGGCATTAGCAGTTCTCAGAGTATACAATTGCAGCCTGCTGGTTGTTTTAAAATATTAATCTACCTTCAGATTGGAAAACCTGTTTTTTTAATCTGCTGTGGTGTCATGTTAGTACTATCAGACCTTTGTGGTTGCCAAAATAGGGCAGAAAAGTGGTCTTGGAAAGTTTCCATGCAGATAACCTGTCTTAAAATGTAAACATGCTGAGTAAAGAGCCATGATTTTTGAACTGAAAACACTGTCTTTGTGGGAGTGACTAGAGCATGAAAATGCTCTCAGGAATACATATGATATGGATACTTAAATCTATTTTACTGGTACCTGCATGGGCTTTCCACAGTGCTGCTCTCTGTAGGATTTGCCTTATATGATGGGGCTTTGAGCAGTCTGGTCTAGGGGAAAATGTCCCTGCTCATGACAGGGGGGTTGGATTGAGTTGATCTCTAAGGTCCCTTCCAGCCCAGACTGTTCCACAGTTCTGTGGCTCAGCCTGGTTTGAATGCCAGCAAGCTGCTCAATATCAAGAGGACCTGTGCAAGACCTATCCAGCCCCCTGGGCTTCTGCACAGTGTGAAAAGATCAGGGACATGAGCTTCTCCAAGCTCTGAGGTGTGCACCTGGAAGCACTTTTGTCTATCTGTCTGTTTGCAGCTTGCCCCAGGGTACCTGCTTTTATTTTGGAAACAGACCTTCCACCGTGTTTGTGTTTGCTCTAAGATAAGTGGTGCTGCCACCTCTGACAGCAAGAGCTGGTCTGTGCAGGGCACTGTCCCAGGAAGGAGAGAAGAGCCCTATTCCAGGCTGTTCTGGAATAGCTGGATAGTACAAGTCACCTGCCAAAGCACACGAAAACCCACGAGTGTCTGTTCTTACTGCCCTCCTTTAGGGTAGTAACACCAGAGGAGCCTGAAGCCTGAGGGTCTTTTAGTTAAGTTGTTACGAGTCCTCCAGTCAGCTAACTTTTGCTGGTAATTGTGCTCACATAAGCATGATTTCCCTCTAACAACAGGCCAAAGATCTTCTGCAACAGCAGGAATTCTATGCATATTTCATGAGTAGCTTAAACTAGAATTTTTAGGATTAAAAAGAGGAAACTGGGTCAGATGCACATGTTGTAAGCATCTAACTTCTTTAATGCTAGATTCATATATGTTGCATTTTGAAAGCTGAAGAAGGGGTTTTGAGTGCTGGCTTTTTTTGTGTGGTGATGTGTTGTTTTTGGGTTTTTTTCCATTGGACTATTTTATGGAGCAATTATTTTTCCCTTTGGAATTTTGTGGGCCAAATCCCAAAAGACTCATGGTATTTCACAGTATGTCCAATGACTTCAGGAAATGCTTTTCTAGCATGTGGTGTCTGAGCTAGGTGTTATTTTCAAATATTGTCACAAGCTGTAAATGCCAAAGCCACTGCCAGTGCCCAGATAAATGAATTAATAACCTGAAGTTAAGATTAAAGGAAAGGAAGGTTTCTTCCTTTCTAAAGATCAGTTGCATGAGAGAGATGGAGAATGTAGTTACCACATGATGCTGTTATTGCAATGGTCTTAGAACTAATTAAGTGCAAGAGAAAGGATCCTGATGACTATTTTTTCAAATCTCTCTTACACCTGTAGGTGTGTTAGTGGCTCCCTGGCATAACTTCAGTTCTGTTTTAGTTGTTTTAACTCTCTCTTTGGTATTATGTGCCATATTAGGCTTCATTTTATAAAATACAAGAGATGATGAACCAGAAAATGGAAAAAACCCACCAGTGTATTGTAAGTCTCTTTGGAGCTGTAAATAGTCAATATAACTGTTCTCAATGTTTTCCCACACAGTTTTACTCTCATGTCACAATTATCTGTAATTGTTCGTATCTTTTTTCTTCTTATTTTCAGCCATGTAGACATTTTTAGATTTGTTGTATAAAACATATAAATGGCTAAGGTATAAGACGGCTCTTAATGGTCTTTGTGGTCTATTTAAAATATGCATGGAAAATAGAAAGTGCATAAATGTAATTGACTTCTTAGCATAATTGTGGTAAAGAGCATTTCTAAGTTGGATACTGTAGGAAGTTTTTTGTTACACAAAAATACACCAGTGCAAGATAGACTGTCTGATGTCTGTGCCAGAGCAAGTGCTGAGCATTCAGTGCAGCAGGAGCTTGGGGAGGGTAACCCAGTTAGTCCCTGTTGATGTCTCTGTGCCAGCCTAGTCCTCCTCTCTGCCTCCTCACAGTTGCCTTTTCTATCCTCAAGTTTTGTCCCAAGTGGGTTTTAGGTATTTTAAAGAAACTAAAAATTACAGCATTGCACCTACATGATGATTACCTTCCCTTTTGCTGGCTCAAACTCAAAGCTGACATTGTGTTGTCTTACAGGGGCTTGATCGAACTGTTAGGATTTGTCTTCCTCCTCCCTCTGAAATACCTCTCCGGAGTAATAGCATGCAAATACAAAACATAAAACCAAAGAGATGGATTTCTTTTTGGTTCATTTAGGCTTTTGTGCTATTAGTTCCTTGGCAGATGTTTTCTTTTTAAGGCTGTACTCTATCAGGGAGCGTGTTTTATCCAGAGTGAATGCTAGTGTCTACATTGGATGCTAAAGTGTCAGTTTTAGAAGGGCAATATTTTTAATGACAAAGAGCAAAGTCCAAAGAACAAGTGGACCCTGTTTCTGGGTTTCTTTAATTGGAATTGGATTGCTTTACCTACAAAGCTGACTGGCTTCTTTCTCTGCTTTTTATCATAACATTCGGGGGTTTACAGCAATTAAATCACTACTCATTCACTACTCATGAGGTTATTCTAAACAAGCTTTTGTTCAATAAAGATCAAGTTTGGGTTTTGTTATTAAGTCTTGAATACTGCCTCTTCACTAGGAGGAACTTCCACTTATCCTGGGAATTAATTCTGGGTTTATTTGGGATTAAATTACAGAGGTTTGGTTTGGATGGGGTTTTTTATCATCATCTTCTTCTTTTCCCACTGTTCAGCTGTGAGGTCTGGCTGGCTGCCCCCACCACCACCTGCACTGCCCCCTCGACCTTCTGTATCTCAGGTATGGACAAAGCTTTAGTTCTTTGCTGTGTGTTACTTGTTTATTTATGTTACCATTGCAGTGGTTAGCACCAGTTGGCTTGGACACAGCAGTTATTCTTGCTTCCAAGTTAGTGAAAATCTGCAGTTTGCAGTTCCATGTCCTCCTTCCTGTGTCTGTCTGGCCAGTGTGTTGCAGTGTCAAATTACAGACTAATTAAACCTCTTTGCAATGGAGCTGACATGCACTCACTAACTTTTATTTACCTAACTGTAAATGAAAGGCTAGCAAAGTTAGTCTACCAAAATGAGTTTCATGCCTGAAGGCGTGGGCTTGATACCTGCTGTTGCTCTTTGCTTCTTGAGCTTCAAAAACACTGAAGGCCTCTGCTAAGGGAACCATGGCATGGAAGTGTGTGTTGCACCCATGGGCTTAAAAAAATAATGCTGAAAGGAAGCAAATGCCATGTCAGTTATGTTGTTAAGTTTCAAACCATTAGTGGTGTGCTTTTATTTTGCATTTTGGGTGAGTTTTTGGGGTTTGTTTTTTAGAGCATGCCACAAATACAGCACAACACAAATTGACAAAATCATGCATGTCTGCATCAAGGTAATTCTTTGCCTTCCAGAAAATCATGGAGGATCACAATATTTTTCTGTGTTGTTGGCTGTGTTAAGTCTTAGGCACAATATGCTTCATGTATTACTTCTTTAGATAAAGTATATGATAGGAAACAAATCCACAGGGGAGCTGACAGCCCTTACATACAAAAAGCTGGTGAGATACCTTCCTTAGGCTGGAATGGTCATCACTTGAGCTGTGGATCTACCCTTAAGAGTGTGCTGTTGAACACCTCTTACTGCACAGTGCTTATGACAGAAATGATTAGAGGCTTGTTGCCACACACAGCTCCATCAGCAGTTTCTTGTGCTCTCCTTCTCTCCATCCCTTGCCAGCACTGAGTGCAGTTCCTGCCTTGAGGACTGTAGAACACTCTGGTTTGAGCTTGCATGTTTCCCCAGTCAGAATGGCATTAGCCATGCTGCTACCAGCACACACCCCTTGGTGCTCCCATCACATTCCTGCTTTGTCTGACACTCCCCAGAGAACAGTCTTTCCCTCTGGCTTCCCCAGGTCCCACAGCACAGCTCCCTACCTCCCAATCCCAGATCCCACAGCACAGCTCCCTACCTCCCAATCCCAGATCCCACAGCACAGCTCCCTACCTCCCAGTCGTGTGCCTGCAGCAATTGCTGCAACCTATGCCAGCCCTCCTGCCACTGCTGCAGCTTCCCACAGTGCAGTGCAAGCCCTCTTGCTGCCATTGGGAAAGGCATTAATGACAGCTAATCCTGTTCTCAGAGAACAAAACTGTTGGTTTCAAGCAAGGGTCTGTTAATTGTCCATTTTCTTATCCTGTGATCAGGTTGTATTTCCTTAGCAGGGGAGTGACAACTTAATTTGTTTGTGCATGTCCAGCAGCTTCCTAATCAAATACTGAACCAAGTGCTTATCCTTATTGGGACATGCAGAATACAGGACCCTCCTAAAATGATAAACACAAGAAGATTCTCATGTGGAATTTTTGATCCAGTCCTTTCTATTACAAAGATCTGGTTTCTAAAAGGGAAAAAAAAAAAGAGTAGTTTCTCTGTCTGCTCAGTAATGAATATGCAGCTGATGCTTTACTAACATGCATCACTTTCATTTACTTAATTTATTTCTGATGATATTTAAAGATATTGAATCAAACATTGAAATACTATTGTACTCATGTCTCTCAAAACTGTATCTTCTTGAAAACATAACACTCTTCATGCTCATCACATTGTTTATTTTTTCCCCAAGCATGCCTTTCTGTGATAAAGATAACAGAGAGTAGGGAAGTATGTGTGGTGGGGTCATAATTCAGCTGAGCTGACCTTTGCAAATAGCATGTAAGCAATAGTGAGCATATGGATTACCATAGTCCAGTGGGGCCCTTGATTTAAAGAGCACAGAGAAGTTGGAGGAAGAGATCTGCTTTCAAAGCTGAGACAGGATCAAGACCTGAAGAAAAACCATGAGGCTGAAATTGCATATTCAGCTTTTTCTTATTTAAAGATTTACCAAACTCTCCTTAAATTTCTGTTTTAACTTATTTTTCAGCAATGTTATTGAAAATCATACTTTAGTGTATTTTGCTGTATGCCTACAGTTATGCACTGTTAATGACAAATGTAGCTTGGAAGTGAAGCAAACCCTGCATATTTCAGGTGGCTGTGCACCTTAAAGTATGCTCATGATATGGTTATTTTGGCTCAGCTTTGGAAATCAGTTGATGGAGGAGGAGAGGGAAATAATTTCTTTCTGAGGTCTATGGTTTTCTATGGATGACTGAGAAGCAGATTGAACCAGCTGGCTCTTCAGAGTGAGATTAAAGGGCTCATGGGATGTAAAGACCAAAGTGCATGAAAGAGAGGTACCCAGGGGTAGGTGTTACATTTCAGTGGATCACAAGTCCAGAATATAGAAAGCAGAATATAGAAATGGCACCTTGACTTTGCTCCTATGTTGCAGCGCTTTTTAGTAGAATTTATTTCAGCCTTTAGGAAAACATTATTTTTCCTGTCAGAACCTCCAAGATAATCAACCTTGGTGAGTTACTGAATCACTGGTTATTCAGAGTGTGCCAAACATCTCTACTCATATCACAAACTTCCTACATTATGTCCACATCCAACTCTGCTTCCATAGTCCAGGCAGCTGAATTACGAGGGCAAGGACTGTACCACTGGGTGAGAAGAGCACAATGTGATGCAGTTCATGTTGTTGTGGCCTTGACTTCACAGCTCAGGGGATGCACAGAATTATTGTGGCAGGCTTGAGTCTTGGGATGCTGTGAGGACCTGGCCAGTTTATGGCAAATAGCAGCAGAGGTGGCTTCTCTGCTCAGCGGAGCTGCTGCCAGCCCATGCTGTTCCACACCTCTGCTGGGCAGACACCTTTACAGGTGGTGGCTGCATCTCTTTTTACTTCTACGACAGCTTTTTGAGCTGGTGGATTTAACTCTGTGTTTCTTTTTTCTTGATGGCCTCTAAAAGGCTATGGTAGTTCCTTTACAGGATGTGTCTCCATTGCCAAAGTCAGCATTTTATTGACTTTGTATCAGTCCATAAGCTGTACGTAAGGCTTCCTCAGAGCTTTCACCAGACACTTCTCTGATGCAGTGATGCTTTTATCTGAGGTCCCTACGGTGACTGTACATAACCTGAATAAATAAAGATGGACAAAAGGCCAGTTTAAATAGTGTGGATACCTCATTATCTTCAGTTCATGATCTTTTAACCCAAATTCCAGCCCATACCTCTTCTGTACCCCAAGCCATTTTGAACTGATGTTTACAGTAAGACATTGTGAATTTCAGAATGAACTCTTTTAGATGAATCAATTCATACTGCTTTCCTATTAAAAGTCATTCAAGTTTTGCCTCAATTTTGTAAAGAGTTCTTGGAAAGATTATGTATGGAAAAGCAGGTGTACATAGATGAGAGGGTTTTTTTTGGATATGTTATTTTGAAGTGTTTTCCTTTTGTGCTTAAGGCTGTGTGTAACTTCACTGACACCTTCTGTGATCTCTAGTAGCACATCTCACATTTAGCAAGTCTGCAGTAGCTTCTTGGATTTAAGGATAATTTTATCCATATCAGTTTCCCTACTTTATTTGCCATAAATATTTAATATACTACAAGCTGTTGTAGACTTAGGATACTGGCAGTGCCTTACCTCTGCTTATTTCCCATGCCATGCTGTAGTATATAGAACAGATGACCTGTAGCTTTTGGAGATAACTACTGTGTTTTTTTTCTGGGCTTGTAGAGAATGGGGTTCAGCAGCTTGGGTAAGTTTTCCTCATCCTGTGTTCCTAACTTGATAGTAAACTTAAGTCATCGAGGAGAAATGGCATAAAGGTGGCCCCAAACTGTTGTGCAGATCCAGGGCTGTGCAGAGAAAATTTGTCTAACATGGAGGTGCAGGAATCACGGTAGGAAGGCAATAGCTATGCAGCTGATCTGCAGTGACACAGATTTCAGATAGAAAATAACTTTGGGTGCTCATGAATAACATTCTTCTGCAGCCAAACATGTATGCACATTTCATATAAGCCCCTGTCGTTATTTTTTTAATGGAAAACAAAATAATATTTTATTACTGTTGGCTTTTAAGACTACAGAAGTCGTTTACCACAGCTGCTTTCTCTGGGAGATTTAGTAACATATTTATGTTAATAGGAATTATGGATGAACACCGAAAAGCAAATATAACTTCAGGATTTTAGCCAAGATCAGCTAACTATCTGCAATGTTGCCCAATTAGATCAATGTTCCTTTATATAAATTACTGTATTTCAGTACCTTCCAACAATGAAGGCGTATCTTCAGTCCTGCTGTGCTGTATAAGGGAATTTGAAAACAGTGGGACTGGAAGAAAACTCTGTGTATCTTGGCTGAAAAAACTGATCTTCCTGGTCTCTTTTCCCAGAGTCACAATTTTAAGCCTGTTGGTTTTGTAAATTCACAGTGGTTTGTGCTGCACTTTTATTTCTGGAGACCTTGGGATGTGTTTTTCCCACTGATTCCATGCTGGCAGTTTTGGCAGGCACTGAAAAAATTATGGGTGAAGGCAGAGCATTCAAGTGAAGTAGAGTAGGTAGGCAGCTGTTAATATTATCAAATTTAAGTACCCTGAATACAGTGCAGCTCTGAAGATGAAAATCTCACTGTGTCATGAGCTCAGAATTCAGCTGTCAGTTTAGTGGCCGTCATTGCTGTTAGATGTTATTGATTTGGTGAAATCCTGGAAATGAAGCACTGCGAGGGGTAGTGGGTGGGTCACCCTGCCCAGTCACAGCCCCTGGTGGTGTTGGAAAGCAAAGATATTACTCTTTTTAACGTATGAAATGTTCTGCTCTCCAAATGTTACTTGATACTTCATAGCTCCTTGAAGCTTTTTGGCCATTCATCATCCAGAATTGCAAGTGA